AGGGTTCGTCCCTGGCCCAAATAAATGAGCTGTGCCAAATTTCATCAAATTCGGATAATAAATGCGACCTGCACGTTGTTTGCAATTTAACATGGACAGACAGACGGACGGACATGCATAAATCGACTAAGAAAGTGATTCTAAATCTGAACCGATTTCAATTAAACTTCGAACACTTTAGGCTATCATAACTTCAGTTCTTTATATAAAATTTCGAGCCCATTGGACTAAATGTGACTCTTTGGTGTCCCATTTACTAAAAATCGGACGAAAATATATATATATATATCTAAATCCGAACCGATTTCAATAAAACTTGGCACGTGTTAGGCTACACCAACTTCAGTACGTTGTGCAAAATTTTGTGCCAATCGGAATAAATTTGACTCTTTGGTGCCCCATTTGCTAAAAATCGGTCGAAAATATATGTGGGAGCTATATCAAAATCTGAACCGATTTCAATAAAACTTGGAACACGTTAGGCTACACCTATTTTTGTACGTTTTGCAAAATTTTGTGCCAATCGGACTAAATTTGACTCTTTGGTGCCCATTTGCTAAAAATCGGACGAAAATATATATGGGAGCTATATCAAAATCCGAACCGATTTCAATAAAACTTGGCACACGTTAGGCTACACCAACTTCAGTACGTTATGTAAAATTTCGTGTCAATCGGACTAAATGTGACTCTTTGGTGCACCATTTGTTAAAAGTCGAACGAAAATATATACGGGAGCTATATCTAAATCTAAACCGATTTTTCCCAATTTCAATAGGGTTCGTCCCTGGCCCAAATATATGAGCTGTGCCAAATTTCATCAAATTCGGATAATAAATGCGACCTGCACTTTGTTTACAATTTAACATGGACAGACAGACAGACGGACGGACATGCATAAATCGACTCAGAAAGTGATTATATGCATATTCTCAAAAGGAACCATGGGTCTATCTCGTTTCCTTTTGCCTGTTACAAACATATGCACAAAGACATAATACCCCGTACCACGGTGTGGTATAATTAGTATTGGTTAAACATTTTCACAGTATTGTAAAAAAGTCAAAATTCGCCGAATGTGCCCATACCCAGGGTATCCTCGAACAAAAATCATTTGGGAGCTATGACTATATCCAATCCGATTCTCATCAATTTCAATAGGGTTTATCATAATTTTAACATGGTTTTGCAGACGAAGGGACATGCATAAATCGATTTTGAAACTGATTCTAAGCATATCCATAAAAGTAAATGTGACTCCATATATTTCTACTTCTGTGTGTTACAAATACAAAACACCCTCTACCACAGTGTGGATTAGGATATGATAAGTTTCAGTAGGGGTCCCTGACATATATATCCTCAGCCAATAGTTTGTGGTGCGTTACGGAATAAAGCACTTGTTTTATTATTTCTTTTGATTCGTATAACGTATATGTTTTTTCAAAGGAGATGGCCAAATCTTTGAGAGTTACCTGGTGCGTTTGCCCAATAGAAACCAATCTTCCTACTTGAATTCAATTGAAGCTCGCCCAAATGTAGCACGCGGCGTGCGGACTTTTGGTCAAACCGAAGCCACTACCGATGATGTGTGGAAGACCATTTCAGAGGACCTTTACTTCTATGGCCCACCAACACGCATTCCAAATGAATGGCAGAGAGTGTAGATTCATTTTAAGGCAAAATTGAAAAAGAAAATGACCCAAAATAAAAGAAACCATAACATCACTTCGCAAGAAGTGCCGTCATTAGCATTCGATCAGGAAGCAGCGGCCGTGTTACAAATGGATTTGATAGTAAATTCAGAAGGTGCCCTTTTTGGCGTTATATCAGATACATTGGATGTGGAGGAACTACTTCAAATCGAGCCAAACACTGATAAAATTGAAAAAGATCTGTATAAACAAAATGAATCATGAAATAATAGTAGATCTGGTATGGTAGTTCTAATGGATTGGATTTCTTAAATGCCTTCTAATATATGCCACGCCTTGCACATAATTTTCATCATAAAAAAATAGTTCCACTGAGCTTATCATAACTTAAAATTAGTTTTTCCAAAATATTCTCTTCAATTTTTGTTTGTTTTCAATACTTCTGGTTGCAGAAGTGTCAAAACGGTCGACGGCAACTGAGAAAGGTTGATATTCATAATGTGAAGTTTTATTTCAGTGGCGTTGTCAGTTGAAATCGCAACTGGAGTTTGGTTGCTTTCCATAATCGACCAATAATTCAAGAATGCCCCTATGAAATTTCAAGTGAAAATCTCAAAAACTCTTAAAGATATAGCCGATTTATTGTGCTAGCATCAAGTGACGGAAAGAGGCTACTCAAACTTAAAAGCTAATAATCCGATCGATTCCAAATTTTGGGACGTTTCTCTGTGAGTGTATCGATAGCTATAGTCTCTTAAATTCGAAAATGGGACATTCCATTCGACTAATATTGGTTTTATTACCGGTAGGAGTGGACCAATGGTCCCCATCATCGAACTTCGTTCAAGTTCCTAGGCTTGGTAAACTTAAACTAAGTTCCAGGCAAATATTACGATGTATGAAGTTTGGATGAAATCTGTTACTTATTTCGAGACTTATCGGTGCGCACGATAACATACGTAGAAACGGACATTTGTAAATCGACTCCAAATTATGTGAAACGGATTTGGTAAAAAAAATGGGATCTAAAACCAATACTTCGATCCGGCACATTTTTGCGGCATTAAAGTGTATATACCCTCATTAGCCATAAGGCTGAGGGTGTAAAAACCCGCTTTAAGAACGTGACCACGTTCGATTGGGCCGAACATTTTATACCCTCCTGAATCAAAATGATGTTATAGGGAAAAGTGGTTTGAAAAGTGAGAGACTCGAAAATCGAGATAGACCTATTGTTCCTTCAACAATGTTGCTTAAAATTGACCATAGAATCTACCTAGGGGCTGGATTAAATTGAATTTTTCGGCTCCAGTAAATTACGCTTATAGCGACCGTTAGCAGGAAAGAAATATATCTATATATATCTGTTCCGAAATTGGCTCTTTTGGTTTCATTTTTGACAATTATTATTTTTTTTTTTTTGGAAACCGAATTTTTTAAGAAGTCATAAAGATTTAAATCGATTTTCTAAAAGTGAGTGAGATTCTCGTATAGGCATATGCTTTTTTTCTACAGAGGAGGTATTCATTTACTTTAAGAACATAAACAATGCAATTAGTAGACTTTTTATACCCTACACAACTATGTTGTCAGGGTATTATAGCTTTGTGCAGCCCCAAAAGTTTGTAACGCCGCGAAATATTGGTCCTAGACCCACCTTCAAGTATACCGATCGTCATATCTCGACTAGCTGAATCGATCTAGACATGTGTGTCCGTCCGTCCGTCCGTCTGTCCATTATAATTTGTAAACACGATACAGGCCACAGTTATGGACCAATCTTCATGAAATTTTGCATGTAGGATGGGTTCTGGCCAATGAAGACCCCTATTGTTTTTGGTAAAGATCGGTTAATATTTAGTGGATGAAATGGACCAAATACTTAATTTTTGTGCGTTTTTCTGGTCGCTCCAGAGGCGCAATTATTATCGGGCTAAAGAGTAAGCATGCCAGTTTTGATAAAGATCGGTCAATATTTAGCGGGTCAAATGGACCCTGACTTTTGTGTGAAAAATTACAAAATTTGTGTTCTATGGCGTATATATTTGCTCCTGAAATACATGAAGCTGATATGTTGATAGTATATCCAAGAGGAGTGGTTGACCTTTAAATTGATACCAATTTTATTGTCGTATGTACTCGGATGTGGGAGTTACACTTACAGGTGCTTCCATAGTCAGACATTATATTGTAACCCATTACCACACTGGAGGGCGGAAATATAGCGCAGATCGCTTTAAAATGTTACATGAGGTTCCAGTTATGGTCAAGGACAACGCCTATAATTTTCTGTAATGATCAAATAATAATTTTGGGATGAAGTGGACCGAAAACTTAATTTTTTGTTTCTCTTTGAGTCGATCTATAGCCCACAATTGGAAGCCGAACATCACAACACAACCAACCAATGTCGCGAAATATTGCCCAAGCTCTGAAAAGAACCACAGAAAGTTAGATTTTAGTGGAAGTTGTGTAGGGTATCATATGGTCGGCCCCGTCCGACTATACTGCTCCGCTCACTGGTTTAATTTTCGAAAATGTAATTCACAACAACATCGCTATACATTTTTCATTGCAATTTTTGAATATATTAAATAGTCCTTAAAGCCTTCGCAATTCCAAGCCGTATTATTACATTAGGATGTACCAAATAAAAGATTATCCTTTACAAAATTAAGAAGAAATCGGTTAGCTGATAACATCGAACAAACTAAATTGGGATTATTGTAAAACATAGAAATAAACTCGTTCGGCAGACGTCGCTCCCTTACAAGAACGCAGAATCTCAACTTAAAGCCCCTTTGATACAGTTATATATGGTCTATACCAAAACGTGGGTATAGCTATAGATCGGTCGATATATTCTCCTTTTCAAAACTAAATCTATGCGTAAAAATGCAAAGGTTTATCATTCATATATCGATCTCTGTCAAGATTTCAGCAGACAGAAGGGAATGTGAAAAACGACATAGAATTTTTTGTTGGTCAATAGTAGAAAAGATATCAAGATGTTTCAAACGGAATGACAAATTTGTCCACTCTGGTGAACAACTGTCCGTAAAATTCATAAATATCATCAAAATGGAACGATTTTAGTTAAACTGCCAAATTTAAACAAAATTTAATTTTATCACATCAAGCAATTAAAATATATTCATAGAATATAAAATTTATTTCTAACAAAAGTTATTATCATCGCACAAAAGACAAGCAACAAATAACTAATTTTCACATAATTGAAAGACTTAAAGAAACTCATCATCTGATCTAACTTAAAAATAGAGTGCCAATATAAAACCATTAAAATTGCGCCGAAAAAAAGAAAATTATCGTTATCCACAATAGAAACGGTTCACAACGAATGTAGTCAAACCAAACGAAGCAACAACAACAATAAAAAGCAGAATACCAACACCACTAGCAGCACACCCACTAAAACAGCAGCCATCATAAAACCGACAATTTCAACCCCACAAATATCCCAAAGGGAAATAGAAGCAACACCAAAGGCAACAGTTGTGCCAACATCACAAACACTGCTGACTCTGACAACCTTTGCGAAAACAGCCATAACCGCAACAGTGACAACATCGTCGTCACCGATATCATCATCCGTGTTAACGCCAACGCAACCTTCGCTACCGACAACGACTACAACGGCGGCGACAACAACACTAACATCCACACAATCCGTCGGAGTAGGAGTAGCCACAGCAACAACATTGCCCACTGCTGTACCACAACTACCATCATCGCCAACAACAACAACAACATCAACCTCTGCCCCAGCACCAGTGGCAACCACAACTGTAACAACTGCCACAAATATTGATAAAACAATTGAGACAACCACAGCAGCATCTTCTGATATTTCTTCCTCTACTTCTGCATCGTCGTCATTGTCATCATCGAGTGGCAAATTTGAATATTTGAAGAAGGAAGTGCCCAACGAAGTCACTCGGAACATAACAGCAGCAACAGACTCAACATCAACAGGCAATAATACCAGTAACGACGACCCTACTCAACAGAATTTGGGAACCTCAAGTTTAGACATTTCATTACCAACGAATCGCAACACCACCACCACCTCCGACAATAGCAACAGTGCGACCATTACAACGGCTTCTTCTAGCATTGCCTCTATCCAAGCCGTAGCCACGCAGCAGTCAAATCAACACCTACACCAACAGCAACACCAACAGCAACAACAACATCAACAGCAGCAACCAATTTTTTATACTTGTACAGCAGCATCGACATCCTTGTTGGCCCAGCCGCCACCAACGAAAATTTTTAAAACGGATCATTTGTGTGTGAACGCTTACGGTTTGCCCCCGGTTGCTGCTGCTGCCACCACTGCTGCTGCTACGGTTGGGCATCCCTGTGTCTATTGTGTAATTCCTGTTGTGGTAAGTGTGCTCATCTTTACTGATTAAGATTCCCATTCGCTATCTGGTAGATGGTTATGGTGAATTTTTGTTTTTCATTTTCGTCCTATTGTTCCTCCTTGCAACCAGCCTTCAAAAACTGCTGGGATAAGTAAAGAAAAAACGGCAGCATCAGCTGTTGGAGGATATTTCAAGTATTTCGTATTTGTATTGGACTTCTTGTGGTCTGCTTTATGGATTATTTTCTTCTACTTTGACTTTGTGAATTTAATCAAATGTTTTTGTTTCGTTTTATTATAATCCAGGATAAATGGAAATATGATGGGTTAATGTTTGTAATTGGTGAGTGGTGGTGGCAGGTTAATATAATGGTGAAGAGTCTTCAGAATATCGTTCAGTAATACATATATCGATATAATTATTCTGGTAAATTATATTATTGAAACTATTTATACCCTACACAACTATGTTAGTCTGTCCATTATACTTTGTAAACACGATACAGGTTATTGGTCCACAGTTATGGACCAATCTTCACGCAATTTTGCATATAGCATGGGTTCTGCCCAGAGAAGACCCCTATTGCTTTTGGTAATTTTTGTCGGTTTTTCCGGTCGCTCCAGAGGCCGCAATTATGGCCCAAACATCGCGAATTTTAAATGGAGAAGGGGATTGGGCCAAAGAATATGCATGCATCTTTTGAAAAAGGTTGGTCAATATTTAGCGGGTCAAATTGACCCTGACTTTTGTGTGAAAAATTACAAAATTTGTATTATATAGCGTATATATTTACTACTGAAGGACATAGACCCGAGAAGTTGATAATATATCCAAGAGGAGATGTTGGCCTTTAAATTGATACAAATTATATTGTCGTATGTACTCGGATGGGGAAGTTACACTTAAATATTTCATACTTAAATATTCATACATTATTTAGTAACATATTACCACACTACAGGGCGGAAATGTAGCTCTGATCGATTTTAAATTTTCCATGAGGATTCAGGTATGGTCAAGGGCAACAGCTATAATTTTCGGTGATGATCAGATAATTAAATTTTTGTGTGTTTTCGAGCCGAATTGCCGAACATCACAACACAAGCCACCGTAAAGGGAATCTGTACTGAATATTAGTAATTTTTTTTTGAACTCTATTCGGTCAAGAGGTTACAAATATCGCGAAATATTGCCCAAGCTCAGAATATAGAACCACAGAAAGTTAGATTTTCAAAGAAGTTGTGTAGGGTATAAAATGGTCGGCCCTGTCCGACTATACTGCTCCGCTCACTTGTTATACCCTTCACCATATTTGGTGCAGGGTATTTTGTCTTTGTGCATATGTTTGTAACAGGCAAAAGGAAACGAGATAGACCCATGGTTCCTTTTGAGAATATGCATAGAATCACTTTCTGAGTCGATTTATGCATGGCCGTCCGTCCGTCCGACCGACTGTCAGTCCATGTTAAATTGTAAACAAAGTACAGGTCGCATTTAAAATCCGAATTGGATGAAATTTGGCGTAGGTCACATATTTGGCCCAAGGACGAACCCTATTGAAATTAGGAAAAATCGGTTCAGATTTAGATATAGCTCCCATATATATATTCGTCCGATGTGAGGTAAATGGTGCACCAAACTACCTATATATATTTCGATTTGTACCAAATTTGGCATATCGTACTAAATTAAGTCTAGAGAGATGTGTGTAAAATTTCGTGAAAATCGGTTCAGATTTAGATATAGCTCCCATATATAGTTTCGTTCGATTTTCAGTAAATGGTGCACCAATGTCCCTATATACCATTCGATTTGCACGAAATTTGACGCAGCGTACTGAATTATGTCAAGAACGATGTGTGCTAAGTTTCAAGAAAATCGGTCCAAATTTAGATATAGCTCCCATATATATTATCGTCCGATTTTATGTAAATGGTGCACCAATGTTCCTATTTATCATTCGATGTGCACGAAATTTGGCATAGCGTACTGAATGGAGTCTACAAAGATGTGTGCAAAGTTTCGTGAAAATCGGTCCAGATTCAGATATAGCTCCCGTATATATACTCGTCCGATTTTATGTAAATGTTACACCATTGCTCCTATATATCATTCGATTTGCAGGAAATTTGGCATAGCGTACTGAATTATGTCTGAAATGATGAGTGGTAAGTTTCGGTAAATTCGGTTCAAATTTAGATGTAGCTTCCATATATATTTTCGTTCGATTTTATGTAAGTGGTCCAAAGTCCATATATCATTGGATTTGCACGGAATTTGGCATAGCGTTCTGAATAAAGTCTAGAGTGATTTGTGTTGAGTTTCGGGAAAATCGATTCAGATTTGGATATATCTCCCATATACATTTTCGTCAGATTTTATGTAAATGGTGCATCAAAGTCCCTATATATCCTTCGATTTGCAATTGTGAGGATTCATATGTACAACATACCCAAAGTGTTGAAGGGTATCATATAGTCGGCCCAGTCCGACTTTACTACTTTCCTTACTGGTTTTTTCTTCTTAATTTAGTTTTATCGTTAGGTAGGAAATTTAACATAGAATAATACATACATACGCAAGAATAATACATACGTAAGTTTAATCAAACATAATTAAAATCATTATATAATGGTTACGAAAAAATATGCCACATCGAAATATTGATTTATTTGGACCAAATTCGTTTCAGATGAGAAAAAGTCTATTTAAATTTGTCCGATGATTTATGAATAAATCAGTAAGGAAAATAGTAAAGTCGGACGGGCCCGACAATATCATACCCTTCACCAAGTATATCAAAGAGATGGCCGAAAATATATATGGTAGCTATATCCAAATCTGAACCAATTTCAACAAAACTTCACACACGTTAGACCACAATAACTTCGGACGAAACTATATATGGCAGATATATCCACACCTGAACCGATCTAAACAATACATGACACAATATACTATTATAGCAACTTCAGTCTGATGTGCAAAATTTTGTACTAATCGGCCTAACTGTGGGTCTTTGGTTCAGCATTTACTTAAAAACGGATGAAACTATATTTGGGAGCTATATCCTAATCTGAACCGATTTCAACAAAACTTGACTATAGTATCATCAGTACGCTGTGAAAATTTTTGTGCTAATGGGTCTAACATTGGGTTTTTGGTGCACCATTTTCTTTAAACTGGACCAAACTCTATATGGGAGCTATATCTTAATCTGAACCGATTTCAACAAAACTTGACACACGTTATGTTATAGTATTTTCAGTACGTTGTGCAAAATTTTGTGGCAATCGGACCAACTTGGTTTACAATTTAAAATGTACAGGCGGACGGACATGCATAAGTCGAAAGTGATTCTATGCACATTCTCAAAGCGACACAGGGTTCTATCTCGCTTCCTTTTGCCTGTTACAAACATATGCACAAAAACGTAATACCCTATACCATAGTGTGGTGAAGGGTATAAAAGGTACTGTTAACATTTACGATCCGAACCCTATTGGGTTAAAATCGGTTCAGATTTTGTCTGTCTGTAATTTATATTGAGTGTTTTTTGTCGACATTTTCAAGTGCCAAGATCAATTTATGGATTATCTTTAGAATTAAAAAAAATAACTTTTTATATTTCTGAAAAAAAAAAAACAAATGAATTGAAAGTTTTCACAATTCTATTAATAACACTCACTCATTCTTATTCTTCTCGATTGCACCCATGTACAGCTGATATTTCATCCGATGCCATTAGTATTAATTAAAACAAGCTATGTTCCATTTTTTTTTTGTAGAACTCTATTGTTGTAGTTTTTGTTGCTGCTGCCGTCGTAGTTGTCTTCTAGTATTTCGAATACATCAATTCTCTGCACTTTCTTTGTATTGGCCCCGTTACTAGTGATATTTTTATTTTTCTTGTTGTTATTATTGCTGTTCTGTTACAGTTTTTTTCCTCCCAGCAATGTAATATCAAACGTATCGTTCTGCCAGCAACAAAATCTCAGCAATTTACTTGCCTATCTGTTGTTATCTGGGTATTCAGATGTTCAGATTGTTAATATTTGCCAGCAACGAAACAACAAGGACAAAAAGAAAGAAAAACATACAGTAACAAAAAACCGGAATGTATGAACCAGTAACCGAACGAATAAACGGATATTGCAGTACATCATGTATCCGATCTATGGGCATACCAGCGCAACAGCAGCAATCCGATGATGAATTTATACTCGTAAAAAAATTAAACGAAAACAAAGTTTTATTGAGATAGTGATTGTATTTCCAATATATATATATATATATATAAAAGGATGTACCAATGGCTGACCTATTGGCAGTAACAAAATAAACACATGTGTGTAAAAAGAAGTGACAGTTACAAATGTAGAAACTTCGATTTAATTAAATTTATTAACTCTATATTAAGGTATACATTAAACTAATTAATTTATAATTTAAATCAAATCAAATTTGAAAGACCACGCTTATGAATAGTCCCTAATTTTTTTATTTTGTTCGGTCCAGGTAGTCCCTTAAAATGTTATGTAACGGTTCTTAGAAAACATTACTTAAGGGAGCAAACTTTTAATTAATAATTCTTACGTGTGTTCAAGATAGTATTTAATATACTATTTTTTAGAAGTCCAGATGGTATTTAAAAAAATGTCATTAAAACTACATGAATAAGAAGTGGAAAGTCTGGGAAGTAATTTCAAAGACTTTTAAATATATTTAAAATCCGAAAAAATCTGAAAAGTACTCTTTCAAAA